AAATCAACCTATCAATGTAACAAAAAGTCTGATAATATATGCAGTAATCCATACTCATGGATCTTCCACATGTGCAAAGCAGGTGTAATCACATAGTTCTTCTTTTGGGCCATGCGTATTCTTTGTAATTTTGCAACATTTACTTTTGATTGATTTGTAGTTATTCTTTCCATTTACATTGTAAATGTGTGTATAAATGTGTGTCTCTGTGTGTATAAAATTTGGCTCATTTAGATCTTTACATGCTTCTCTGGATTCATTACCCAGCCATTGGGTATTTATTTTGTTTCTAGTTCTTTGTAGTTTAGAAAAGAAAGTACTGTTCTGAGTATTTTGTTGTGTAGGAGGCCCTAGTATCAATGACTTCTTGGGAAGAAGTTAAAGAGGTAGGTACATTTTATTTTATTTTATGCACATTTTATTTGCATAATTCCACATTGCTTTCCAAAGTGGTTATACTGATTGCTACACCAACACATTAGTATGTCTATCAGTACTTGGCATAAAGTAGGCACTAAAAAAATGTTGATCTTTCCACAACCCATATTGACTATTTCTCATTTTTGTCACTTTTGTAAATTTTTTGGATATGAAGTAAAACCATAACCTTGTTTTTACTTGCATTTCTCTTATTATTGCTTTGTAGCATTCTTTCTCTTTGTTATTACTAGTGTGCAATTTTTCTGAGAAAGTATAGGTATTTTTAAAAAGTTATATAGGGCTTAGAGGAGTATTGAAGAAGGGATAGGATTGGGGGTTAGGGAGAATGGAACAATACCAAGTTGGCTCAGCTCTGTTCTGTTGCTGTTTACTTTACGGGCAAGAGGGCAGAAGAATGATCTGAGACTGGAAAGGATCTGACAAAAATGGTTGGTTTTGGTGGGAAATTGGGGATAGAAAACTGTGGGAGTGGATTTCAAAGATTAGTAGGAAGATAGTGAGTAGTACCTACCTGCCCTTGATGAAGCTACTGTGACAGATCAACTGTGTCTTTGGTCAAGAGAGAAGGATCACAGGACCAGGGAATGACAGTGTCCTAAAATGAAGAAATGGAGATTGTCCATTATAGGTCAAGTTCCCTGGGTGTGACTTTGATTCCTGGCAAAATTTAAGAACATATTTATTAAAGGGGTAGTTAGTGAAGATCAAGAAGCAGTAGTAGATTATAAAGATGACAAAATATCTAGAGGAAAAGTCTTTTGACACATATGGCAGAGCTGTTGTCTAGAGCTTATTGCCACATGGTGACATGGTAAGTATGCTTTTAAAAAAAGAATGCTTGGATATCTGTTTCTTCTAGGATAAATTTGTATCTGACATACTATTTAAAAAAAAATTTTTTTTGGGCAATTGGGGTTAAGTGACTTTCCCAGGGTCACACGGCTAGTTGGTGTCAAGTCTGAGGTGGATTCAAACTGAGGTTCTCCTGACTTCAGGGTGGGTAGCTGCCCCCAATACTTACTACTTTTAAAAGGTCCTTTAGCATACTTCTCCTTTCCTTGACTTCCCCCACCCTTTTACCACACCCATCCCCCTCCTTAAAAAAATTGTTTCCTGCCCAACCTTAAGTTTTCATTAAATCTCTTTGGCTAGGAGTGAACTGCTGTTTCCTGTTTTGGCTCTTTTAATCCTGGCTTTTCCAGATCAGAAGTAATAAAGCAGAACATTATATAAGAGTTAATTACTTAATTTATCTTTTTCTAAAAGGTTTTCATCTTATAGTGGCCTTGATTCTTATAGCACATGATTGTAGGACTGGGGAAAATAGACAGGGCATTGTGGTCTGGTGGTGGAGATAGCCCTGAATCTGGAATCAGAGAATCTGGATTCAAATCCTGTTTCTACTACTTACTCCCTTATATGACCTTCATCAAGGTACTTAACCTCTCTTGACCTTAGTTTCTTAAATGAAAAAAAAAAAGATTGAACTAGATAAGTCCCCTTACAACTCTACAAATCCTATGATCTTATACATACCTCACAAATAGGAAAACTTTAAAAAAACCTATAAAAAGACAGGCCACTGATTATATGATAAATTTAATAACTCTTTTATCACTGTTTATCATTTAATTTTGACCTCAGAAGCACAGGTTCTAATTTAAGAGAGTTCAACATTTGTCAACATTGTAGCTATTAGCACTTAAGAGACTTAATTACAAATTTTTTGTTTTATTTTTCATGATACCATTTCTTAGAGATTAGAATTGTTGCTCTCAGAATTTACTTCAATTGTATTCTAATTTTATGATTTCCGGGTCATGTTATAAATATATGCTCAACTCTGTGACTAAAATTGTGACATCCTTCCTCTCTCCTTGTCTCCCTTGCTTTTTCTTCCTCCTTCTCTCTTCTTTCTGTCTCTGTTGTTCTCACACAGTTCGGATAGAAAATAGATAAAACCATCGCATGTATACAGAATGGCATTGTAAAAATTAATCATGATAAACAGTTATATGAAAAGGTTCTTAATTAACTCCTTCCTCTGTCTTTTTTATAAATAGCTGCTTTGTATTGGGTCTCTTTTTACTATGTCCCTACAACCTGCTGAAGTCACTTATTTAATAAAATGTGCCAAACTTTTCTCTCTGTTTTAAAACAGTGGTTTCTTTTTTCACAGTGGCTTAATTACTCAACAGTTTTATTATTTAAGCTCCATGGTATGTTATCGGATGGAATGCCTCTGGAAAGTGTTCTTTTAGACGTGTATTCCCTAAGTGGCCTTTAGATTTTTTTAAAAAAATCATCTAACAAGTACTTGCTGTCTTGCTTCTAGGTGTTGGGACATATCTTACTTTTTGGGACTCTAGCCCTCTCCTTAAATTCAGTGATTCTACTCTATTGACTGTGCTGAGAATGAGAGGATAAAATAAGTAATGATAGTTTTCATAAAAATTTTTGAAGGAGAGTTGTGAGATAGTTTCATCTGTGTCCATAGCTCCTCTGATTGGAGGATAGAGCCATGAACTCCAAAATCTCCATTTATGGAGGGGCCCCAGGCCAGTCATCTTTTCATTTTCCACTGGCTGCTTTCTTTTGGACTTCTCAAGATTTCTCCACCATGCCCTCATCAACCTCATCATTGAGAAATTTCATCATAATGTGAAATCCAGCCAGCTTCGGTACTCATACCTTAGCGGTACCCTCTTTCCCCTGATTGGAGGGAAGAGCCATGAGCTCCAAAACCTCCATTTAAGGAGAAGGCCTAGGGCAGCTGTCTCTTCATTTCCCACTGGCCACATTCTTTTGGACTTCTTTGGATTCCTCTATCATGCCCACTGGACTTCTCCTTCTTCTCCTTCTCCCTCTTACTCTCTCCACACTTCGAGCTTCCTTTTGTGTAGTGTCTTCCCCTATTAGATTGTAAGTCCCTTGAGGGCAGGTGCTATCTTTTTTATATTGGTACTCCTAGCACTTAGCATAGTGGCAGGCACATAGTAGGTACTTAATAAATGTTTATTGACTGTCAGTTCATTATGTAGCAAACTTCAGTATTTTCAGTCTTAAAACTTTACGCTGCAAACTGACAAGTAACTCTTCAACCCCAAATCTTATTTGTGAAATGGTGTAGAAGGATATTTTCATTCCTCAGTAGTGCTGAAAACGTTCTGAAGCAAAGTGAGTTATAGTTGGCCCTCATTACCTATACAAATAGAGGTAATTGGTAGTATATATGATCTTGATATCAAATACATTTTTGCTCTAGAAATCATGTTATTCATATTATTCTTTGGGGGGGCAATATTTACTTAATTAAATTTTACTTTGGCCATTAGATTGAGGTGCCATTCATTGGACAAAAATCAGCTAATACAAAAGGACATATCCCGAAAAGATCATGGACAGCTATATGAAATTATATTTGGCAACAAAGAAAATTAATTTGGGTAATCTGTGTACGTGGATTATTCATAGTTAACTGTCCCTTAATTTTACTAGTTGTTTTCTTGATTTAATTCTAACAGGAGACATTACTGGCACAACTCAACTTGTCATTTCACCATACATTTAGATAGGCAGCTGCTTGAGTTGTGAATTTTTATCTTCTGAGTGGGCACCTGCCCTTTTTTCACTCACCTAAAGCACTTGGGAAATGAACTAACCTATACAGGTTCATTCTCTTATATAAATAGAGAGGTACCTCATCTTATGCAAAGGTAGAGAGATGCTTCTCTTGTTTAGTGTACTTGAAATTATTATTATTATTGTTATAAATTATTATTATTTTGTACTATGTAGTTAAAGTCCAGTGTGGTAGGAGCAATATCCTAACCCCTCTCCCCATGCAAATAAGGCTAGTTTTTCCTTAAAATATATCTAGACATTACTAGAGACTTGGTTGACTCGGGAACTATTTCCTTATATCCTGAGCACAAAGTAGCTGTGAGGAGCCAGAGGGGCTCTCAGATGCTTGGCTGGTGGATCTTGATGGGAACTTTACTCAGCTGAATCAGCTGGAGGGGTTTTCAGTGCCTATCCTTGTTAAATATCCTAATGCTATGGTTAAGTAAATTTCTGTTTGTTAACTGTCACATTTCATTCCATTATTGAACCTAGCCTACCAGGGGACTGGCCTGAGTCAGACCCACCTGGAACACACATTATAGATTAAATAGTCTTTTGTAATATTACTTGAAAATCTAATTATTATTTATGGGGGGGGAAGAGGTAGGAAATGGAACAAACATATATTAAGTGCCCACTTATGGGCCAAGCACTGTGCCAATAAGTGCTTTACAATTTACATTTATACATTGTTTTGATGGGCAGGCATGTTCTGAGTTCTGAATAATGGATTTACAAATGTACTTTTAGAGTATAACCTTGTGAATGCACATGTTATAAACTAATTTTCCATTTCATAGTAAAACTATGTTTTTCCCTTTCAGCTTCGGTTATTTTTTTCTTCTCATGGATTATATTTACATTTTAGTAAGAAGATTTTATGGATGTGTCAGAAAAATAATTTGTTTTAAAGTGTGTTTTAATTCTGTTCCTAGGAAATCTACATTCTTCAATGTCCTAACAAAGAGCCAGGCAGCAGCAGAAAACTTCCCATTCTGTACTATTGATCCTAATGAGAGTCGAGTACCGGTACCAGATGATAGATTTGATTTTTTGTGCCAGTATCACAAACCTCCAAGGTAAATGTTTTTGTTTTTTCAAAAATCTTCATTCTCTTCCTTATATTGGTGGTTAAATTTAGACATTGAGTCATTTATCTCCTATGGGAGAAATTCATTAAAAATGTTTAAGTTTGAAAGAGTGATTTGAAATTTACATTTTTTTCTTTTAGTTGGAACAGTACTTTTGATTCTTTAACATTTTGAGCTTTTCCTTAACCCTTTATATCGAGTCACTTTTTTCTTCTTTCTTTGTTTCTGTGCTCCATATTTTTTTTCCATCTTGCTATTTTTCTTTTCTTCTCCTTCCTCTTTATCTTACCAAATTTGTTATACCCTTGAAGGCTTATTATGGTCCTTGACTGTCATTACCCAAAGTGATTTTACCGTTCTCTAAATTCCTTTGTCTCTATAGGAAAATAACAGTTCCCATATATTACTGAAATAGTTTTTTTAAAAAGGCCAGCAAAGTACATGTGTTTGGGCATGAAAGAAAAAAATTCTTTGATCCAGAGGAAAATATTGTGGTTGTTCCAATACAGTATGTTAGAGAATTTAGGGACCTGACTCTGCAACTTTCAAGTATGTGTTATTTCAAGAAATACAATATTTTTTCAATTCCAGTGGTCTAGTCTGAAAAATCAAACCTGCAAGCTACAGTTAAACACTTTGAAAATGTCTTTACAAAAGCACAAAGTAAAAGTCTCTGACTTTAGCATGAAGCTGCTTGATCCCAAAGTGAAAATATATTACTTCTTTAAAATCTCTCACTGAAAGATGGAAGCATCAGAAGTTCTTAATATGGCAAGCATTTAAAAACAGTTTAATTAGAAACTAAAGAGTTCACTAACTCCTTTTTTCAGAAAAAAAAGGAACAATTGGAAAATAATTATTGGAATGCTGAGTAAAGTAATTAATGATAAAAATGTAAACCTCACATTACTGTGGTTCTCTTAACTAGCAGAATAAATTAATACCTGAATCTGTGGTTAAGGCAGAGAGCTTCAGAACTTACTAGAAAATGATCATGTGAGGTGTAGATTCCTTCATATAATGATTATACTCATGTGTCTTGTCTTACTTCTGCTATGTTCATTTGCCTGAAAGTTTTAGATGGCAAATTTTGAACACAGAATTTTAGCTTCACTGGTCTGGGTTCCTTGGAGCCTTGTGTCTGTTGCTTCCCCCTGTTTCTAAAGGGTTCTTATTAACTAGGTGTGTTTAAGTTACCTAGTAGTAATATGCACTAGAGGTCTCTCAGCTTGTGGCAATCTCTTTTTTCTTTACCAGAAGCCTTACTATGGAGATCAAGGGAGAAGGGAATAAAAATATTGCTGATAAGGATAACTACTCAGGTTTTTAAAGAACTTTAAGGTTTGCAAAGCACTTTTCCTTATAACCGTACTTCACCCTGTGAAGTAGGTAAATTCAAGTATTATTACCTGTTGTGGTGTAATAGAAAGAATTCCAGATTAGTCTTCACTTTTGCTGAGAATCCTTTTAATCATTTTAACTTCCTCTCCAATTCCCCATATCAGCTATCTGGACTTTTTTCCTCTTTCTTCCCATATGTACTTCCCAATTCCACATTTATAACATTTGATGTTCTCCACTTTCTCCTGGAATTCCCTTGACTCACAGTATCCACTTGCAAAACTTCTTACTGATATTATCAACGTGGCACAATGGAAAGAGCTCTGGATTTGGAGTTGGATAACCAAAGTTCAGATTGCAATTTATTACCTATGTGACCTTGAGCAAGTTGTTTTATTTTTATGAGCCTCAGTTTTCTGATATGTAAAATAGACCGAATATTTTCAAAGATTCCTTCCTTTTCTAAAATCTTATGATCATCTATTTTTCTGTCTTTGTACCTATCTCTGAGGAAGTAGTCCTTCTCCTTTGTAATCTGTGCTCTTAATCCTTTTCCACCCTTTTAGCAATCCCCATTCTGTCATTGATTTTCAATATCTTTCTTCTCCCATTGGCTTCTTCCCATTTGCTTATAAATATGCTCAGGTTTTCCCAGGCTTAAAAAAAATGTTTTCTTTGACCCAAGCAGCTACATTTTAATCTCTCTGTGTTTAATAACAGTTAATAATAGTATTTAACATTTATTTAGTGCTTACTGTATGCCTGGAACTGTGTTAAGCACTTTACAAATATTAACTTATTTGATCTTTACAACAGCCTTGGAAGATAGGTGCTATTATTATCCCCGTTTTAAATATGAGTCTGGATTTGAATTCAGATTTTCCTAACTCCAGACTAGTGTTCCATCCACTGCCCTGCTAGCTGTTTATATTTCATACTTCTATTTCCTCATTACCCACTTGTTCCTTAATCCCTTATCATTCCCCTGACCCAGTACAGTAAAAGTCTGCTAGAGTTTGCCAGTAACCTTATTATCAAGCCTAATGATGGAGGACATTTTTACCATACCTCAAAATCATTATGTCCAAGAGTAGCTTATTATTTCTACCAAACCGGTTGCTTCTTCTGACTTGCCTATTTTTAAACTGTCTTACTTTCTATAGTAGAGGCACAGTGGATAGAATATTAGGCCTGGAATGAAGAAGAAATCTGAGTTCCAATCCAGCTTCAAACACTTACTAGCTGTGTGACCCTGGACAAGTCACTTACCCTGTTTGCCTCAGTTTCCAGATGTATAAAATGAGCTGGAGAAGAAAATATCAAACCATTCCAGTATCTCTGCCAAGAAAATCCCAAAAGGGGTCACGAAGAGTTGGACACGACTGAAAAATGACTAAAGAAACTCTCTACAGGAGCTTACGTGTGACTTAGTGTTTTGTTTGTGGATGATTATGCACTCAGTGCAGCCTCTGAGGCTGAGATACAAACAAAATATGCATCCGTTCTCTGCTGCTTTTGCTAATTCTGGCCTGACAAGTAACACCAAGAAAACACAGGTTCTTCACCGCCAGCACCACAGCATCCATACATGAAACCATCGGTTACAGCAAAGAGAGATATGTCCACTTACTTTGGCAATATACTTTCCAGGGACATACAAATAGATGATGACATTGATGTACTCATTGCCAGAGCTAGCTCAGTGTTTGGGAGGCTCTGAAAGAAAGTGTGGGAGAGAAGAGGAGTTAGGCTGTCTACCAAACTGGAGGTCTGCAGAGCTGTTGTGTTGATCTCATTGTTGTATGCCTGTGGAACCTGGACAGTGTACAGTACCATGCCAAGAAACTGAATTGCTTCCATTTGAATTGTCTCAGGAAGATTCTGAACATCACCTGGCAAGATAAGTTATCAGAAGTGAAGCACTCTACTTCAGAGAGTACAGTTGATGGATTGGCCACTGAATGCCAAAAGAACATTTGCCTAAATTTTATGGAGAAGTAACACAAGGCAAGTACTCACATGGAGGTCAGATGAAGCAATACAAGGACACTGTCAAGTTCTCTTTGAAGATCTTTGGAATCGATTGTGAAACGTGGGAGACATTGGCACAGGACCGTTCAGCATGGCTTGTCTTCATCAAAGGTGGTGCTGTGCTCTATGAGCAAAGCAGAATGACGAGATTCAAAAGAAATGTGAGGTGAACAAATTTAGAACCATCTCTACTCCAGATGTTCATAGAACTATTTGGGTCTGGCCTGTGGTAGAACCTTCCAAGCTCATATTGGTCTGAACAACCACAATTGGATGCATTGCACCTTGATCCCAACATAGTGATGTCATTTCGGTCCTCTTTGAGAGCTAAGGACAACAACTAACAGGATCTTACATGTGACTTAATGTTATCTTTGACACTTGTCATTTGTCTTATAGTCATTCAGTCTCAAAGTCATGTCATTCAAATTTTTTAACATGAATTATCATTGTTTTCGTTTCTGTCTTTTCCTTCTGTTCTAACCTTTATTATTGGTTCATTCCCATCCATTTGGAATGTTGCCATAGCTTTCTAACATGTCTTTCTACTCTTTCTTTCCAAATCATTCTCGTCATTACCAAACTTATTTTTCTGCTTCATGGAGCTGGTCATACCATTGCTCTGGAGAAAACCATTCGGTGGTTCTCCATTGCCTGCAGAGTCAAGATAATAATCTTTTGCCTGAATGCTTACAATTGGGTGCTGCCTTACCTTTTTGCCTTTCTAACATTTTCCATGCACTCTGTGCTCAAATGATCAACGAGCATTTATTAAGTGCTAATTATGTACCAGGAATTGTACTAGGCATCAGGAGTACCTGTGCAAAAATGAAACCCTTCTTGCTCTTATGTGGTTTATGTTCTGTCAGAGAGACTCTGTGTGTGTGTGTGTGTGTGTGTGTGTGTGTGTGTGTGTGTGTGTGTGTAAGTATATGAAGATCCAACACGAAGTAGTTGAATACTTATCCCTTCTATACTTCCTACATTCTCACTTTCATACACACACTATTTCCTGTGCCTGGAATGTCCTCCCCCGATTATTTGAGTTGACTCATCCATTATAGCCCAAGTGAAATGCTGTCTCCTTCAGGCTATCTTTTTTCCTTTGATCTTCCACTTGATGTTGATGCTCTTCCTCTTCCCACTCCCAAATCATATAGGCATCTGTTTGCATTGCTCTCATATACTTACCTTATATTATATTGCATTATTTGTTTTTCATGCCCTGTGCTATACTATAAGAGTTGGAACCATTCTCACTTAAAATTGGTGACTCCCTGATTATCTTGCAGAATGCCTTGCCTGCAATATTTAGTACACGTCTGTTCAGTGCCTTGCCAAGTACTTGGATACTTTCCTGTGGTTTTCCTTAATATATGAAATACTGACTCTCACATGCCTTCAAGTAAATGTAATGGAAGAATGTGATCTGGTCTTTGTCTTTTCCATTTTGTCATTTTATCTGCAGTATAACTAAGTAACTGAAAAAGCACAGTAGTCAGTACTGAAGTGAACTTGTGATCTCATCACAAATGGGCCACTTCTCCCAGGATACAGATCACAACCCACTCTTATTTTTTTGTTCTTTTTGTCTATATTCCCATAAATCCTCCATGGAGAAACTGCCCATTATGCTAGAGGCATTCTGTTAATAGCCTTTTAACCTTCCATGGGTACCAGTGAAGTACTTGCAGTGTCCATCTATTAGTCTTTGAACTTAATTGTTGATTGATGTTGATAAAAATATCCTTGAAGATATTTTTGTGCTGCTTCTTCCATGCCATTATTTGTGATGTACTTTGATTACCCTGTGCTAACTATGTGTCTCTCTAAAATTTTAAGTGATTCAGAAGGCACCAATTCTTTAGAGATTGTGATGCTCCATGATTAGCAGCCTTGAATATTGCAATGGAAGAGGATCATTTATGAGACAGTATGGAACAGTGGAGTCAGAGAATTTAACTCATCCTTGTTTGGATGCTTTACTACCTGTGTGACCTGGGGCCAAACACTTACCTCACTAGACCTCAGTTTATTTCTCTGGAAAGTGAGAGAGTTGGAATAGATGACCTCTGGGATCTTTTCTAGCTCAAAAATTAAGATCTTTTGACGTTGATGGTTGCTGGACAAATATATCAGAAGTGGAGTATCAACAGTTCAATTAGTAGTTATATCCAATTTACAAATGGTATGATTCTTAGCACCATCTCTCCACTTTATAGCAGAAGTGGAAGGGGCCTGCACAGACTGAGTGCTATTTAAAAAATTGTTCAAAAAGTCCATCATTGTAGCAAGGTAGTCCTTTCACACTTCTCTGATTTGATATCCCACTCACAATATGGCTATTCCAAATCTTTTTATTCTTTCTTCTACCTTCTCAGCTAAGGACTTTGCCTCATATTTTACTGAAAAAATTGGGGACATTCATTCACTTGAGAGCTGTATTTCTCTTCTCATCTCACATCAGAATCTCTTTACCTACTATCTCCTTCCTGTCTCACATAAAGAGGTAGCCCTTCTTGCCAAAGCAAGCTCTCTACACATACCCTTGATTCCATCCGATTCCATCTTTTCCAGCAGATTACTCCCTCTATCCTTCCCATTCTTTCCTAATCATTAATCTCTTCCTATCTACTGGCTGCTTCCTTGCTGCCTATAAACATGCCTTTGTCTTCCCTCTTCCTTAAGAAACCCTCATTTGATCTATTTCCTCTAGCTCTCATTCTGTATCTGTATCTTTCTTTTCTTCACCTTCTTGGCTAAACTTGAATAAACCATCTATAAAATTCAGTGCTTCACTTACTCTCCCCTTGCTTGATTCTAAACCCTCTGCAGTTTGGCTTTTGACTTCATCATTTAATTTGAACTGCTCTTTCCAGAGTCACCAAATGATATATTAGTTGCCAAATCTAATAGCCTTTTTTTTGGTTGTTGTTATTTTAGACAGTGGGGTTAGATGACTTGCCCAGGGTCACACAGCTAGTAAGTGTTATGTGTCTGAGGCTGGATTTGAACTCAGGTCCTCCTGAATCCAGGGCCGGTGCTCTATCCACTGTACCAGCTTGCTGCCCCCTATTAGCCTTTTCTTAATTCTCATCGTTCTTTGGCCTCTCAGCAGCCTCAACACTGTCAATCACCCTCTTCTTCTAGATACTCTTGTCTATCCTCTAGGTTTTTACAATATTGCTTTCTCTTTTTTTCTTTCTTCTCCTACCTTTCTGACTGATACTTCTCAGTCTCCTTTGCTGAATCTTCATCTAAGTTATATTTACAGTTGGTGTTCCCTATGGTTCTGCCCTGTGCCTTTTATTCTTCAACACTAAACCAGTTTCCATAGTCTCATTTACTATCTCCATAAAGATGATTTTCAAATTTATATGTCATTCTTAATGTCTTTTCTGTTCTCCATTCTTATATCAGAACTGCCTTTTGAACATCTTGAACTGGATGCCCCTAGACATCTCAAATTCATCACATCTAAAACAGAACTCAGTTTTTTTTCTCAGATTCTTAACCTCTTCCTAACATTTTTTTAAAGTAAATTTTTATTGATATCTTGTTTTTATATGCCTAAATTTCTCCCAGTGTCTCTCTCCCTCCTTTGGAGCTGTCCCATATAACAAAGACTAAATTTTTTTTGAAGAAAAAAAGGAAAGAAGAGAGAGTAAGGTGAAAGAGGCTCATTATCAGGTTGGCATGTGGAATGATGGTATTTTGGTCACAGTAACTCTTGAGGACCATCTACTAAGTTACAGAAGGATCCTGATGTATACGTTATTTAGGGAAGCAGCCCTACTAACTGAATTACATGTCCCTGAAGTATGAATGTTTGTTACTTAAGTATATCAAGTATAGATCTGACTTGTCACTTTTTTGGCTCAAGAAGCTTTAGTTAACCCTCTGTTGCTGCTAGCATATGATACAAATTGATCTGTTGGGCATTTCAAGGTCTTGGCCCACCCTATCTTTCTGGCCTGATTTGTGTTCTAGCCAAACTTTATGATGTCAGTGCCTTTATACAGTCTGTCCTGCATTCCTGAAATAGTCTCTCTTCACACTTCTGTCTTATGGAAACTCTAGCGTCTTTCAAGGCTCATCTCGAATGTGATTGCCTACATGAAGCCTTTCCTGATTCCCCCAGTAGTTAGTGTTCTCACTTGCCAAAATTAATCTGTTTACTTTGTTTATATTTGGTATTTATTTACCTCAGTACATGTTTTTTCCCCAGTGGAGCAGAAACTTTTCTTTGTCAGGTTTTCCTTTTTTTTGACCTTTGCCTTTGGATCCCTGGTGTGTGACACAGGATTTGAAATCAGGGAAGGCACTTAATTAAATACCTGTTGAATTGAATGAATAAAAATATTCTTGTAGGATATCTCTGACTTCATGTGCCATGTATTTGACTAACATTTTTCTGTGTCTATCATGTTTACTGCAATGGTGATTGAGGAACTTTCTCAGTACTTTTTAATCTTTAGAGTCACTGGAAACATATGGCTCTAAATGAATTAAAAGACTGTATTATGTTGAATTTTCTAGACAAGGAAAATTGGTTTAAATTAAGCTATTTCAAATGTTGTTGGTGCATTGGGTGGCAAACACCTTATTGTACTATTGTATAATGACTAATTTTTTTTTTAATCTTTCAGCAAAATTCCAGCCTTTTTGAATGTAGTTGATATTGCTGGCCTTGTGAAAGGAGCTCATGCTGGACAAGGGCTAGGAAATGCCTTTTTGTCTCACATAAGCGCCTGCGATGGAATCTTTCATCTAATGCGTATGTAAACTTGTTCAATTGAATAGTTTAAGGATAATTGTGTTTTTCACATAGAAAAAAAAATAGAAAGTGGTACCTTAAGTTTTTTCTCTGCCTTTATATAATTTGCATTATTTTTTGATACTTGGAATTTTAAGTCATGGTGGGATCCTTGTCCTATGTAAAAGATTAATCCATTTAAATTTTTGTGCTATAGTTATACTGTTCTAATATAATATGTTATTGAAAGTGTCCATTGCTTGGCTGCATTAGAAATATATTCAGTTTGAGGAATTCTTGGAAATCAACATATATAATATAATATATATAAGCAGGTTAGAGTTCTTCTGGTTTTCCAAAATTGTGGAATTTGTTTTTGTAATACTTCTTTGGTAGTTTTTATGCAATAGGATTGAATTTTTGGTGTCTTTTAACATTTTTATTTAGTTTTCTGATATTAATTATAAAAGGTGGGTTTTTCAGATCCTTAGAGCAGTTTTTAAAGAATTGTTTTTGTGCATGCACATGCTCCTGCAGTAGTTGTTAAAAGAGCTGGCCTGGAAACTAGGAACACCTGGGTTCAAGCCCTGCCTCTAATATGTACTTCCTATGTGTCCCAGAGCAAGTAGCTTCACTTTTCAGTATTATAAGACTGAAAAGTTGCAGAGGGGTACCTACTTATATAGGGAGAAGTTTTCTCACCCAGCTGTTCCCCAAAGTAGTTCCTCTCCCCTCCCTTCCCCTCTCTTCTCCTTCCTTCCTTGCTCTGCCTTCCCCTCCCTTGCTCTTAGGTTGTCATAGGTCTAAGTTGCTATAGCCCTCATGGCATTAACAACATCCTGTTAGTCCTTTTAAACATTTCACTTTACTCATTTATTGAAACAATTCATGCCATGCTTATGGAATATCCGTATTAGTGAAAAAAATTCAGTCCAGTGAACTACTGCTGGTGATAGGTCCTAGACAATCGTATGGAAGCAGGAAGGTAGAGGATGCCTATCCAGGATTTCTCCAGTGAATATTTGAATATTACAGACACATCAACAGCAGGATATGACTGCTAAGCAATTAGTTAATACAAAACTCTTTTGTTCATCTGTCCACTACAAATGGGATCTGGAGGTAATAGGACTAGCTCAGATATATTTTCTATGTCTACTTTTTGTACAATTCATTGAAACTCTTTGGATTCCTTGATTTCTTTAAAATATTTAGAGTCACTATATTGGGGCTCTATTGATGAATTCTCACTTTTTAATCAATCAATCAATCAATTAATCAATTATTTAGGCAATTGGGGTTAAGTGACTTGCCCAGGGTCACACAGCTAGTAAGCGTTAAGTGTTTGGTCTGAGGCCAGATTTGAACTCAGGTCCTCCTGACTTCAGGGCCAGTGCTCTATCCGCTGCGCCACCTAGCTGCTCTGATGAATTTTTTTCTTAAGATTAGAATTATATTCTTAAATTTCGATTAGATCATTAGATATCAGGGTTTTCTAGGTATCTAAACTTCCCCCCTACCCCCCAGCCACTATTTCTTTTTCTTCATCTCTTGTTGTTGTTCAGTTGTTTCAATCATGTCTGACCCTTTGTGACCCCATTGGGGTTTTCTTGGCAAAAATAACTGAGGTGGTTTGCAGTTTCGTGTACCAGATCATTTTTACAGATGAGGAAACTGAGGCAAACAGGGTTAAGTGACATGCCTGGGATCATACAGTAAGTGTCTGAGGCCAGATTTGAACTCAGGAACTTCAGGACAACTACTTCATCCATTGCACCAACCCAGTTGTCCCATGTTGAAGTTCCAGACTATGTTTGAAAGTGATTATAGTATACAGTATGTGCTAATTTTATGTATCAGCCAGTGAAGGCATTTTTTTTTTAAAAGCAGTTGGGGTTAAGTGACTTGCCCAGGGTCATACAGCTAGTAAATGTCAAGTGTTTGATCTGAGGCCATCTGAACTCAGGTCCTCCTGACTTCAAGGGCTGGTGCTCTATCCACTGTGCCATCTAGCTGCCCAAAGGCATTTTGAAAATACTTATTTTTTTCACAAGAATTTCAGTTGTAATTAGGATTTACCTTGGTTATCTTAGCAGTTTAGACATTAGAAATGTTATATTTAAAGATGATAACCAGGTTGATAAAACTATACTGATTAAAAAAGCCCCTGGAATTGTGAGTCAGATTTTCTGTAGAAGAATATTAGATTTTGGTGGATTTAATAAAACCATGCCATTATCTGTTCTCTTAGTATGTGAGTGTGATAGGTGCAAAATCTTTTTATCTAGATAGTTCCTTAGAATGGATTTCAAAGTGCTGCTCTTCATCTTTGAGTGCACTGGTAGGTGTGTTGGGCTGTGCATTACCTCTATTTGCCGGCTTAGTTTTTACTTTTGGTTAGGGAAAAAAAGTCTGGTACTAACAACTTTAAAAGATATAAGTAGCATCTTATCCCTCCTTGGTTGTTTTCTTCTGAAAAGCAAGTGAAGGACGATTCCATAGTAAAGAGGTGATTGTTATATTATTAAAGCAAGCATTTTTGAAGATGTGGTGGAATTTTGTGATATATTTTAGCTTGGTTGTATTGTATAAATTAATTTGTTTTGACATAGTATTGGTCAGACAATACCATAAGGAGCAGAACTATGTACATATAATGAGGGAACCTTGTTTGAAAATCTAGTTTTTTGAAGGCTGTGCCTGTGAAGCACAAGCTGCTAGGTTTAGTTAAGCTGGAGATATGGACCTTGTGATAATGGATGGTATCTACTACCCAGTTCAGGATGGTTCTTCACCAGGTTAGCTTCGAGATGATGATTTTTTGGCCACAGCAACTCTAAATGATCACCTGCTAAGTCAGACAGTTTGTGGTATGTGTAAGGAATACCTTTGTGAGTGAAATCACAGATTCTTAAGTTATTGAAATAAAAATTTTTCGTTTAGATGAGGGCAGTTTGGGTAATTTAACTTATGTGTCTTTGCATTATTACATTATGGCTATATTTTGTTACATATGGCTATATTTCAAATCACTACAAGAGTAAGAATTAGAAAGTCAAGACATCACCCTGTGATTGGTCCACTTTGAAAATGAAGGATGAACAACAAAACAGCAATATCAGAAGAGAAGCAGCAGTGTGTTTTAGTGCCAAGAAAACATTCTGGAAAGGCAGAAACCTGGGTTTAGACCTGTTCTGTGACACATACTGGCTATTGTCCTAGGTATCATTGCTCCGTCAAATTGAACACTTCACATATCAGTACAAATCAAAACCCAGCCATTTCTTTTCATACTTTATGATTCTTGTACATGAGTTTTCATATATCTTGCACAGGGTCTATGTGCTGGAGGCCTTTGTCATGTCTTTACATTTCATAAGTGCCCGTGAAGTAACTTGGCTCGCTATTACCCCTTGCTTTTGACACATGGATAGTCCACTTATTTTGATAATTGATTTCTTCATTGATCTCTCTTCTGTTCCTCCTTGTGCATAGGTCATCATGGAGATATGCTGCCTATGAGTTAAAAACTATTGCGTAAACCCCAAATTATTCATGGGTTTCTCTGTCCTTTTGCTAAAATATACATGTAGGAATGTTATGGGATTAAAGTTAGCCCACCATAAAATTTACCAGTTTTTTTGTGCCAGTCCTATTGTGGATCATGGGATTACGTAGCTCAACCCTTTCATTTTTTTGAATAATGAAACTGACACCCACTGTGGTATGCCCAGTAGTAGTAGGTAGTAGGTAGCAAATCTAAAGTATGAACTATTCTGAGTCCTAAATCTTGTGTTATTTTTACCATACCTCTTCTGCTTTAGCCATGAAAGGACTATGGCTTTTTTTTAAGTTTTATGTGCTTATTTATTTATTTGTTTATTTTTTTGATTCTTGCCAAGTTTATTTTCACATATTTTATTTTTTCCAATTATATATAAAAACAGTTTTTTAACATTCATTTTTAAAAAAAATTTAAGTTCCCAATTCTCTCCTTCCTTCCTTCCTTCTCTTCCCCACTCAGTGAGAAGGCAAGCAGTTTGATATAGGCTATACATATGGAGTCATGAGAAACATATTTCCATATTAGTCATGTTGTGAAAGAAAACATAGACAAAAACCCCTCCCAAGGAAATGAAAGAAAATTTAAAAAGTGTGCTTTGATCTGCTTTCAGATTCTCAATCAGTTCTTCCTCTGGAGGTGGATAGCATTTTTTATCGTAAGTCCTTCATAATTGTCTTGAATCATTGTATTGCTGAAAATAGCTAAGATCATTGTACTGTGTACAATGTTCTCTTGGTTCTGCTCACTTCACTCTGCATCAGTTCATCTAAGTCTTTCCAGGTTTTTCTAAAAGTGTCCTGCTCATCCTTTTTTATAGCACAGTAATATTCTATCACAATCATATACCACAACTTGTTCAGCTGTACCTCAATTGATGGGCATCACCTCAGTTTCCAATTCTTTGCCACCAAAAAAGAGCCACTATAAATGGTTTTGTACATATAAGTCCTTTTCCTTTTTTTAAAAATCTCTTTGGTATACATACCTGGTAATGGTATTGCTCTGTTAAAAGGTACGTGTGATTTTATACCTCTTTGGGCATAGTTTTAAATTGCTCTCCAGAATGGTTGGATCAGTTCATAGCTTCATCAACAGTGCAGTAGTTTCCCACTTCCCCTCCAACATCGATCACTTTTCTTTTCTGTCATATTAGCTAATCTGGTAAGTATGAGTTGTTACCTCAGACTTGTTTAAATTTGCATTTGTCTAATAGTGATTTAGAGCAGTTTTTCATTTGACTATAGATAACTTTGATTTCTTTGTCTGAAAACCACCTGTTTTGTTGAGAGAATGACCTGTATTCTTATAAATTTGACTGAGTTCTCTATGTATTTGAGAAATGAGGCCTTTATCAGAGAGACTTGCTGTAAAATTTCCTCCCAGTTTTCTGCTTTTCTTCTGATCTTGTCTGAATTGATTTTGTTTCTGCAAAAAACCTTTTAATTTAATCAAATCA